GTATCAACACAGCAAAAATATCAATAAGTTTAATTACGTAATTGCAAATATTTGAACATGCATCTACTGTAATTTATATATAGAAAGTAAAAAAAGAACAAAAGAAATAATACAGAAACATCTGGGTGCCTTTTAATTGAATTAAATTATCTTTTATAAATTCAAATTTCTATAATTTTATATTGTTTTTGTTTTTAACTTACAATGCCCTTGAAAAATGATATCTTATCTTCTTGATATGAAATCAAACAAACTGCATGATAATTGCAATTTGTCTAAAACACATATGTTACAGTTCATGGTGGTCTCATGTTGAAATGGGACCACCAGATGCCATTCTGGGAGTTACCGAGGCATACAAGAGAGATCAAAATTCAAAGAAAATCAATTTGGGTGCTGGCGCTTATAGGGATGACAATGGCAAACCATATGTTCTTCCGAGTGTTCGGAAGGTTAGTTATAAATAAAATATCAATTTTAGAAGAGAAAAATTAATATTATATCTCGATATAATGATAAAATTATGTAGATAATTATATAATATTAATTAATATAGACAATTTTTATTTATAATAAATATAATAGATATATAAATATAATAAGTATAATAAGTATAAATATAATAAGTATAATAAGTATAATAGATATAATAATTTTAATAGTACAATTTTATTTATTTTTTATAAAATATACAAAATATATTTTGGATTAAATAACAGGCAGAAGAAAAAATACGAATTAAAGAAATGGATAAGGAATACTCCACAATTGCTGGCAATATCGAGTTTTGCCAGCATAGTATTAATCTAGCTCTTGGAGATGGAAATGAAGTTGTCCCTAATGGATTGGTAAATATTATAATGACAATATGTTAAAGTTTTTTCTTAACAAAGATTTTTCTTTTTAGAACGCAACAGTCCAAGGAATTTCTGGTACTGGTTCTCTCTTTGTTGGAGCACAATTTCTGTCTCATTATTTTCCTGGCAATAAGGAAATTTATTTACCAACTCCTTCATGGGGGAACCACAATCCTCTATTTAAACTTGCCGGACTTACAGTCAAATCGTACCGCTATTATGATCCAAAAACGTGTGGTTTAGATTTTAAAGGAGTAATGGAAGATATATCCGTTAGTACAAGATTTTTTAAATAAAAGGAATAATTATTACTATAAATATTAATGCATGCATCGGTAGAAAATATCCAAAAGATAAATATTAATCATAAAATTTTATATCGAATTATTTAAAATTATAACAACTAACGTTTATGTACTAACGTAAATGTTTTCTAAATATTAATAATGTGATTTCTAACAAATATATAATAAATAATAATTACAATTGGGCAGAAATTTTACGAAACATATTGCTCATAAAATTAATACATGCTGCATTACATTAATTAACATTAATAATTCTGAAGGAATTAATATTTTATCATACTAATGATGTTATCTGTAATAGAATATTCCTGAGAAATCAATTATCCTCCTACATGCATGTGCTCATAATCCTACTGGTGTCGATCCCAAACCGGAACAATGGGGAGACTTGTCTACTCTGATTAAGAAGAAAAATCTGTTCCCATTTTTTGACATGGCATATCAAGGCTTTGCCTCAGGTATTTTTAAATGTAATTTATATATATATATATAATAATATTTATTACTTTATATAATACCTTATAATTTTAATACTAATACATTCTAACATTTTTTACAATCTTATCTCATTTTTCTGTAGGAGATCTTACAAGAGATGCTTATGCAGTTAGACTATTCATTAAGGAAGGTCACAAAATTGCTTTAGCTCAATCCTATGCAAAGAATATGGGTCTTTATGGTACGAGTCAAAATATATTATTTGTATAAGTAAAAATTATATATATAAATTAAAAATATATTAATTTTTCTTTTATTTCTTTAGGTGAACGTGTTGGATCGTTCAGTCTAGTGACATCTAGTAAAGACGAAGCTGCACGCACTTTGTCACAACTGAAGATTCTGATTAGGCCAATGTATTCAAATCCACCCATTTACGGAGCTCGTATAGTTAATGAGATTCTCGGCGATCCTGAATTGCGAAAGGAGTGGTTACGCGATGTAAAGGGTATGGCCGATCGCATCATTTCGGTTCGCACGAAGTTGCGTGACAATCTGAAAAAGAACGGTAGCACTCGTGACTGGTCTCACATCACCGATCAAATCGGGATGTTCTGTTATACTGGTCTAAAGCCGAACGAGGTAATCTTTTTTTATATATTAATACCTAAGTATACTTACGTAATAATGTTCTTTAAATAAGAAAATAAACAAATTTAATATCATTATGATTAATTATCAATTTTTATTGTTTATTTGCTAACAGGTAGAAAAACTTACAAAGGACTTTAGCATTTACTTGACTAAAGACGGCCGCATTTCCATGGCTGGTGTGACATCAAAAAATGTAGAATACTTGGCACATGCAATGCACGAAGTTACCAAGTAACTTCCACTACTAATTTGACAATTAAACATGCTATCATTTCACTCGAAACTGCCCTGCCAATATCCAGTGATAATATATAGCGTTCACGATCTATTTTATTGTATACAAACTGAGTAATTGAAAGTAACATTTTTGATCAGGACAGAAAAGTATATAGAAAACCATATAGCACGGATATGAAATGAATTTTTTTTAAGTTTATACAGTCACATTTATTTTGATTTATACATGGTAAATATACCGAATATCCATTCGATTTTTAAATATTCGTGAATAACAATCTATCTGCTTGTTATTATCTGTTGTGCAAAGTAATGTCTTGTACAACAGCAAATAATTGGATATCAATTATACAGTTTGATATGTGTATTTGTCTATATTATTAATGTATAGATTTAAATTAAAGAATTATTTATATTTTTATAATAGTTTCAGGGTTGCCACAGAAAATGAATTTTAAAATTCCCTAACTTTTTCCGGTTTTCCGGATTTGTGGCAACCATATAGTTTAGATACTTTAATATCAATGATAAGTAGTATATTTTGATATGTCTTTCAAAGAAAAATATTTTTGTATTACATATCTGTGCCGTATGAAGATGAAATAATTATATTTTATATAATTCGTATTATAATGCGAATGAATAGTACGAATTGCGAACATTCAAATATTGAACATTAATTGCAGCTGTGTATATTAGATTTCAGTAAAAAATACTCCTTTTGTAATACAATCCATTTTTATATCTAGCTTTTAATTAAAAATTTTTTATTCTAAAATCATTGAGATCAAATATTTCCTCTATTCTACATTCTCTGCAACTTCCATATTTAATTAAATGATACAAAACAAGAGTGTCTCATTCTTTTTCATTCTAACATTTATGAGAAGGATAGGAAACAATGTGGCATGTGAGATAGCACAAAACTTTAAGTAAAATTAATAGACTTATATATATATATATATATATAGAATAGAGGAAAAATTTTTAAATAAAAGAATTGGATTGTGTTTTATACTCTCGCCATTTATAAGCATCTGAAGAGCTTTATTAAAGATACCAAGTTTCTTGTAAAGTTTATATTGTAAAGAATACAGTATATATATAAAGATCATGTTAATATTTTCCTCACTGTCTTATTTTCCTACAATTTAAACATGATTACATTTAAGAAAAAAATGCAAGTTAAATTATATACTTCGTTTTTTATACTCTATGTATATATGTATGTATAATGTATAATGTGTATATATATATTTTTTTCTACATGTTTTGTGCATAAAGTATTAAAGTAAGATTATTGAGTAATGAAGGTTTTATGATATTTCACGATCAAAAAGTAAGTAAAATATGTTTTATGTATATATATATATATATATAAAACCCTAGTAGTAGAATTATTGGCACAATATTAGCTCAATGATCTGATCCTATAATTTTTATGAGTCATTTACAATAGAAGTAATATTATGTAAGTAATAAGCTAATAAGCTATAAGAAATTGAGCAGTCATAATCGATTAATGACTACAGCATCGCAGTCAATAGTATTGACTCAATACGCTAGCAAGAATCTAATCCAGCAAGAAAACATCCAACTTGACTTGTAGCTCCTTTTTCATGTAATTGTTGAAAAAGAAATGCATTAAATCATGAGAGAGAGAGAGATACATCGCTGATTGGAATCCACATTTCAAATTCAAATAATTCCATAATACGTACCCACGGTCGAGTTAGTTAGGTTGGCTTGCCTGTTTCCACCGAATCAGAAGGATCAGTTCCACAGGTCAGTTCGCATTGCTTGGAATTCCCAAATATTTTTTATTTTAAAATAAGAGATATAGGCTGTGTTCCAAAATTTACTGCCAGTACTGAAAATCTATAGTTTACGTCACGTGCACTATAGATTTTCAGTACTGGCAGTAAATTTTGGAACACAGCCATACTTTGAGCTCTGATTTGAGCCCTGAAAAAGAGAAAGTGAGGACGCTGAGTACATACAAAAGAAAAGCACAGGCGATAGGAACAGAGAATAAAAGATTTCAACCTATCAGAAAACGTTCATTCTATTATCGGAAACGATTAAAAAATTACTTTTACTGATCATTTTGGGGTCATTTGGACATTATTTTGATATCATAAGGACTTATTTTGTTTGGGATTGTGTGGGAGTGGCTCACTTGCACTGTTGCAATTGCTCACTGTCAATCACAGCGACTTCTGTGTAGGGAGTTTTTTTTATTCTAGCGCTGTAATTGGCTTGTGTGCAATTGATACACTCCATATCTTACATTTTTACCCATACAACACAAATCACTCCACAGAGCAATATTGCAACGTTCTAGAAATATTTAGTAACAGTCGCAAACGTAACAGCAAGCTTCTATACTGTATGGAGTAACGAGTTACGCAAAAATAATTATAAATAGAAATAATTGAATACAATATAAGATTATACATATTTTTGTTTTTGTGTACAAAGTTAGCATATCTCAATTAGTGTTTTCCCGAATGTGGACAGTTCTCGATTATTTCAACGTGAATATGTAATACTCATTTAATTTCATGCCTTATGTTCTTCAAAATGTGTTAATTTACATCTGCAAACAGCTGCGACTCACCAACTGGATGATAGGGCTAGACAAAAGTAGTAGTCTAATTATTTAAAAACGTTTACTTAAAAATACAATCTTTTTAAACATAAATGGCAATACGAATGATTAGAAAGAGGAAAAAACATGTTTCTATTACTTAAAATTCTACTGCGGAAAATGACATTCTTTATCGGCACCGATCACCGAATAGCGGTACTTTGTCGATTTTCATATGCGGGTTTCCAACCCTCTTGCCATGTTTGCTCTTTAATCGGCTGAAAATCCGGTTATGCAGCACCCGAGCGATAGATATCTCTGAATGAGACTGGCGACAAATAATCACGCAGAAGTGATATATCTCGTTCAACCGTAGCTCTTGATTGACGATTTCCACTTTACATAAAACAATTCTATATGCTCCAGATTAACACCTATGAAGTAAATGTATATCAAATAAATATTATGTTTTGCAGTAAGAGTCTTAAATTTTTATTTTTTATCACGTTTTATGTTTCGTTAATTTTTTGTCATTGAAATGATTAGTTATTGCCGTTGATTTTTAAATTGTGTTAATGTTAACATTGAGAATGACTCAATTGGGGTTGAAATGTTTGTTATAATAAACTGTTTATTTTTTTAATAACACAGCATCAAAACTTTGTTTGGCTCGTAGCCCTATTCTTATTATATTGATTTTATATTTTTTATTTCAAAATTATAATTTTGTAATGTAATTGTAGAGCAATATTATACACAAAATTGAAGTTGAGACACCGATTAAAAATGCTATGTAAAAATTTTTTTTCATAAATGTGATTTATGTAATTAATTTACTATTATGCATACCATATATATATATATATATATATGAAACTAATTGATTAGTTGATCGCCTTATGTTAGCATTCTAGGGACAAAAAAAATATGAAAGTGATAGCTACCTGCACTATCTGCTAATCCATCAGGACTAAAATCCAAAGCTCTTCTGTCGTCTGGCTTACAACCAGTCAGGAGGGTCACAACAGGTACCTCTCCGTCACCAGTAAAACCAACCTTCGCTTCCTGAGTCAAATAGTAACAACACTCTATTATCTGGAAAAATAACCATGCTTCCTTGTCCTTCGGTTTTGGTTCTGTTATTAATGGCGGCGCCAAACGTTCGTGTGGTCTCTGCGCCCGTAAGAATCTTGAGCCACACCTCAGTTGCACCTCCAGCCATCGTGTCGCTTCTCTTGCCTGAGCGCTTACACGTTTTACCTCATCCAGAGCAGAAACAACTATAAATACAATTTTATATAGACAATAAAATAGCTTCTGTATTAATTTTTAATACATCATAAAAAATGTTCAAGGAATATCATAACAATATTTCACATCAACAGTTTAATTAAACTATAATTCTTTCATCTTACACTTTCGACACAGATTTACTTACCAACTGAGGGAATCACCACAACAAATATTTTTGCTTCCACTAAGCGTTTAAGAGCCGGCGTATGCTTGGATAAAGCTTTGTGATCGGGAACAAGATATGGCGACATCAATCGAGATTGTACTTGACTCTCTAAAGCTCGAACCTCGGCATTGAGCCATGCATTCAGCCATAATTTGCCCATGTGTTTCATAAGTTTCTGTTTCGAATGTTCCGGCCCGAAATTTTTCTCGTCTAAACCTATTACCTTTGGAGCATTTGAGGAGTTTTCGTCCGTCACCATAAATAATCCCTGAGTCTGATCGTACTGTACTTTTGAATTCTCAACAGAACAGAGATGGTGTCCGAATTCGATTAGCTTCAATACTCTCAGCAGTGTTTCTTCCCGCTTGTTCATTTTGTGTTTACGAAGTATTTCCCAATTAAGAGCTTTATGAGTATTTTCCAGTAAATTTAACCCCCGAAGATCAATGTCTTCTGGTAGAGGTACGATCTTCGTGTACTCTTTCAGTTTCTTCACGCTGGATAAAATTGAGGAATCTTTGCTTTCTTGCACAAGAGTTTCAATATCCATATTGATTAGATTTAACAGGATCGTAATACGTTTCAATAATGTTCGTGAACTCTTAGCGCATATCCGAACGATGTCAGGGTTACTTCGAAGCCAATCGCAGCACACTTTAATAGACACAAGGATCTCCTTGTCAATCAATATTTTCAAAATGTCATCCGATTTTAAACTTTGCTTTTTCAACTGTGCCATACAAAAGATGTTGTCTGCATTGCATAAACGATCATTGCCTTCCTCGAAGGTACTAGACGAGTCAGTATTCGTGATGGTCACAACACTGCTGCTCACAGAACTTATTACAGAATCTTTATCACTTAATGCTTTCGAACCTGTCTGCTGATTAGTCGCGTGCTGTTGCCCGTTAACCAAATGGTTGATACCGTTCTTATCACAATCCTCCATTTTGTTGGCAATATCGCTGCCATGGCCGTTCATTTCTTTTTTCGCTGGCTGCACTACATTTTTGATAATCTGAATCTTATTTTCTGGAGATAGTTCTTCGTCATCTGTATTATCGTCCGATAAAGCATCGTTTCCCTCACTTAATGCGTCGTCCTCCGTTTCAGACACGTCAGAGTTGATTTCGTCACTGGACGACGCTAATGTTGACTGATCTACGTCGCTCGCATCTGAATCGGAGCTAGTTCTCCTTTTCCGTCTACGAAGCTTGCTGAGAAGACTTTTCGATTTATTGCGAGTTTTTTTGGGACCTGATTTGTTTGCGATTCCGTTATCTGATGACTTAACTTTGTTAGTCTCATCTAAATTGAGTACATTATTGTCTTTACTAAAAATAGAGTCTTTTTCTTTCACGTGATTTCCGTTGTCTCCTGATTCAGATAACGCTTGATTTTCCTGTGCATTTTTTAACTTGGAACAAGTATTTCCCTTCACAGCTTCTTCACCAGACACAGCCATTTCTATGATCATTTTTTGCAGTTTTCTTATTATAAACTCTAACAATTGCGATAGTATTGCTAAAGTTATAGCAACGACGCCTTGTACTTCGTTGGATTCTTTATTCTTTAATCTAGAAATTGACATTAAGCATATTGTCACGATTTTAAATACCATATCATCTGTTAAATAAAGCGTTGGTCTGTTTTTACAATTTTGAAGATATGTTTCTATGTTATCCGTATTTTCGAGAGAATTTGTATTATTTGGCTCGATTTGATCCATTTTTAAACACTTCTCTATATCGGTTAAAAGATCCTGTTAAAAAGAAATTAACCACCATCGTAAATTGTGAAAATGTTTATGTAAAATTCAAATATCTTAACGTCAATTAAATACCTGGCATTCTTGATTTATTTTATCAGAATTTGGATTTTCATAATCCCATAAACGTAACAAAGAAAACAATCGTGATACACAATGATGGACAGAATTGTTTTCATCTGTATAGGTCGACTGAGTTATTACAATTTTCTTTAAATTTCCTTCTGCTCCTTCAAATGGTTCAGAACACAAAACGCTGCAAAATAATTAAAATTATAATTAGTATTGATTAAAAAATATTTACATATTAAAAAGAAATTTATAAAAAGAAAATAAAATTACTAGGATACAATTTATTATCGGAAAATGTATTAATATTATCATTGAGTTATTTTTTTTTAAATTAAATTATTACTGACACCAACCTTCTCATGTAATGATAAACTGCATCTAATCCATAATTTTTATTGCCTGCTATAGTACCAAGCTGATTGTGAGGCATACCAATGTTTGGATCAATGGCTATAGCCATCTTATAATACCTGTTTGCTATCATTGGATCCCAGTTTGAATTTAATTCTAATTTGTACCTACTCAAGTCTCCAAGGCATACTAAGCTTCGATGGATCAAGCGCATAACACACTGTTTGAGCTCCTTGGTATGAGTTTTAAATTGCCCTGTCTTAGTTCTTGCCTACAAATTTAAAATTTTATCACATTACATATTATGAATCACGATGTTTTACATAACTGCCATAATTAAAGCTCTATATTAATAAAAGTAGCGTATTTCTTTGATTTTTTTTCTGAGCCGAAATGCCGACAACTTTTCTATCGGTTATTTTGACTGCCACTTCGGACCTAGTTGTCTGTAGTCCAATAAGCGCTTAGTATTATTGGCATATGGTATAGTTAGTAGGACCAATATGGTGGACTTTTGTGCTACTTTTATCAATATAGAACTTTACCTATAATTTGTATATAATACCACAATTAAAAATCATTATAATATATCTTTAACATAAGACTTGTTTTCTAACCAGAATGAGTTAAGTTAAATATTAAAAAATTTTCTTACATATGATGAAATACTTTCATTTTGAATGAAAGCAAAATCAACAACACCAACAAGATCTAGATCGTATTCAGTTTGCAATCTCATTATCAGATGATGATAATATCCCACACCCACTGCCAAATGGATTGAAAGCAGTGTTTTTTCCATATCATTCCAGGTGTTACTCTGAAATATTGTTAATAATCATTTCTTATTATTCTATTATATATTAAAAAAACTTATATATATTCATATGTTTAAAACAAACTATACTATATACTATATATAATATACTATATATAAAATAATATATAAGAACTATATACATATATATATGTGTGTGTATGTATGTATGTATACATGTTAATTTCTATATATTTAAAACTTCTATATATCTAAAACTCAAAATAATATACAAAATCCCAGAGTTGGCAAGTAACGTGTTATTTGTAACGCCGTTACTTTGATGATCGTTATCTTGTTATAATAACGATTTGGTAATGACATTGTGAATTTTTTATGATGGTAATGCTAACATCAGAATTAGAAAAGTCAATCGTTACTTGTAATGGATTGAAAAAGTCATTCGTTACTGAAAAAAATAACTCCTAATTTGTAACAAAGTAACTGAAAAGTAACGTTTGCCAATCCTGCAAAATCCCTTCCATATGCGCTAGATACGTGTGAATAGTGTGAATAGAAGGTAAAGATAGAACAACAGTTCCCAATTTCATGATTTAGAGATACAACGAATTTCACAGTTAAGAGATAAAAATGAAGATATTCAGAATCCTGAACCACTATTATAAAATTTCAGGCAAGAAGTTATCGTCAGCTTTAATTTTTAATATATCACATCATAAATATTACCTTTCGTAACTTCTTAGCTGTGTACACAACATCGTAGAAGGCCTTTCTCCAGAGTAGTTCCTCTATTTTATGTACATTTCCAATAGGGTCTTTCAATATCAGTCTCTCGCAATAATCCTTAAGTTTCATACGCTGAATTTTTCCAGATGAAAGAAATATGTCACTTACTGTCAGGGCACGATTCTTTTGCTCATCCAATTTCTTAACGATCTCCGTCACGCTTCTTAACAAAACAAATAATAAAATACACATTTAAAGAATGAACCAGCATATTTTGCGTTATGTATGAAGGTCATTATCAAAGATACACGTCTGACTGCACAATTTTTTCATTTACCAGGTTATCTATTATCATATCCAATATTAAAGGTACAAACGCATTGATCAGACGTTTTTCCGACTAGGAATGAATCCATTGTGCTTGATATATCGCAAACCGCGCAAAATTCATCGAGAAACGTGCGAGTGAGAACCAAGCATGGCGATTGAGACGATGGGTTAGGTTCACGTCTCTCGAAATCCCTTTGCCTTTGTTTCTCCAAGACCGTTATGAAAGTATTTCTTTTTTTACCACAGTAAAGATAAAAAATAATACTTTCACAGTAGAGTATTTTATTTCCACGCAGGGAAACGGAGGGGCTTACTTGTGCAGACGTCTCGTGACTTCGAGGCAGTCCGTTGTTCGGGCCTCCACCGCGGCGTTAAACGATCTTCTCATTTTGCGTTACTCATGACCCGCGTTCCGGCCGACTCGTCGTTACTCATTGCCCCGCGGTCCCCTGGGACGCGCATCTCCTCCGAAGACTCAGAAATCTCGACATTCGTCGCCCGTTCGTCGACACACCTCGTCGCTGCTACCTGTACAATGTCCACCAATGCTCACTTTCTCTTTCTGTTGCTCTAAACGTGACACCCATCCACTGTCTACTCAATCTACTATGACCGTCCACGACTGCAGTGCACTAAATACTAATGCGGGGTCTACAATAGAAATCGTAGCGGTCGTAGGGTCTTAAGTTGTAGAAAATTGACCAATCACAGTTGATTATTCTTCTCATATTCGACTGTGATTGGTCAATTTTCTACGACTTAAGACCCTACGAATGCTACTTCTATTGTAGACCCCGCATAATGCCTATTGTACACTGGATGCGATGAACGATGAGCGACAACCAATGGCTGCGTTCAGCAGAGAAAGCAGCTTTGCAACTGTTGTAAAATTCTTCAATATGATTGGTTTATACATTTAGATCTGTCAGGAACCAAAAGCAAGAACCAATCGTATTGAAGAATTTTACAACAGT